GGCAACCATATGCCATATGGTCTCCATAAGGCAACTGGACAGGTTGCAGCCCCCCTTGAGACCCTAAATTAGAAAGTTGAAGAGAATGAATGGATTCAAGGTTCAACTACCTTTTCCCCATTATCGCTCCATTTGCATTCAATTTGTGTGTGTGTGTGTGTGTGTGTGTGTGTGTGTGTGTGTGTGTGTCATTTTAGGAAAAGTCGTCAAATTTCAAGATTTCACTGCTGTTAAATGTGACATTTGATCTGAACAGTATCTAAGGGTTAAATTACACCATTTAACAATTTGATTCTTGGGTATGATTTCACTATGTGCAACACAGTGATTTATTACTGTTACTGAAGGTTACTCACCATACCAACTAGATTTTAAATCTTAATATAAAATGAGTAACAGTAGGGTGGACATTAGGTAAGGCTGCACTTTTTGCAGCGATCTCCTATAGAAAACTATTCCGCGCGGATATAAAACATGTCTGCTGATCACATTTAAATCTAAAATTAATGACTCATGCAAACTTTTACTGAGACCAGTTAATTGCTTTTTTGTCATCTTTTATGGCACTGTAATTCTTTAAAGCAATCTGTAACACACTTGCAGTGTAGGATTGAAGTTAAACTGTCTTGCATTGCTTTATTTTTGTCATTTATTGCAGGCTGATGAACTCTCTGCAGAATGTGTCAAATACACAAGAAGTGATTCAAAACAAGAGGAAGGTAATGAAGGAAAAAAGTGGTTTTGGCCACTGGTGAAGTGTGTGACTGTCAGGGTGCCAAACAATCTTTTTCTCCAGCATGTCACACTTGTGGACCTTCCTGGAAATGGCGACCGTAACAAAAGCAGAGATCAGATGTGGAAAGGGGTGATTCACATTTACTGCTCTTTGCTTTATTCTGTGCAAACAGTAATGTCACCTTTTGATGAAGCATCAAGACATGTTATTCTCCTTTCAGATAGTTGGAGATTGTTCTACTGTGTGGATTGTGACTGAAATTAATCGAGCAGCATCAGAGAAAGAGGCCTGGGAGATCCTGGAAAGTGTCAGTAGTCTGATTGGAAATGGTGGCGAATGTCAGCAAATTCATTTTATTTGCACCAAGTCTGATCTTCTTGATGACTCAGATGATCTGTAAGTAAATTTCCCATGCTGATCAACTGCAGGGTGTTTCCATAGATCAACCCAGGCTAGACAAAGAGTGAAGCAAAGGGTTTGGCCTTATTAATGCAGAACATTTGGGTCAAAAGGAGTCTCAGACGCTGAGACAATTTTATAAAGTTTACTAAATAAGGTGCACTGAGTAATGAAAAGAGAATTGCCCGGTCAGAAGGAAATTGAGTTATTTGAGAGTGACACAGGCAAGGCAGCTTTATGTATGGGTACAAAATCTATGAGATTATAGGAAACTTCCTAACAAATCATAATCCATCTAGAACATGTCTCCAAAAGTTGAATCTGTTCATCTGGATGTAGCGTTTTGTGGGAGAAATGTTTCATCACTTATCCAAGTGACTTCTTGACTACTTCAATATTCATATGGACAATAACAAAATTCCTCTTTCCAGAGAGATCTGCCATCCATGACCTTCCATCTATTCACAGCTCCTCAACCCCTCATGAACTTGTTTCTCATTATAATGTCAACCTTCATAACCTTCTTAACATATTTGCTCCACTTAAACATCGAACTGTCTCATTTTCCCGTTCAGCACCATGGTTTACCCCAACCTGCGTCATCTTAAAGCTAAAGGATGGCAACTCGAACGTCTATTTAAGAAAACTGGACTTGCTATACATAAAGAAATGTATAATGATCATGTTTTGTTCTATAAGGACTGCATTGTTTCAGCCAAATTCGCATACTACTCTGGTTTAATCAGTTCTAATGAAGGTAACTCCAGGTCTCTCTTTTCATTGTTCAGTAAAATTCCAAAAACTCCAGACATATTCTCCTCCCATATGTATTCTGCTGACTTTTGTAATCATCTAATCTCTTTTTCCACCCGTAAAATCTCAGATATTCACCGTCAACTTAACTCTGCAGGAGCTTCCGACTCTGAAGTAGACTTCCTGTTTCCCCCACTGTCTTCCTGTCACTTATTTTCCATTATCACAAACATTCTTGATTTGTATCACTTTTTTCTTAAATATCCATTACAGTCTTAAGGAAGGTACCTCATTAGTCTGTTGGTGGGTTATTGCCATTGAGACAAGTATATTTCTTTGTGTGTGTGTGTGTTACCCCCCCCCCCTTTTTTTTTAGTTCGTCAGCTGATTTCCATGATCTACTAACTGAAAGAAATGTGCAAACCAAGGATGCAATAAAGAAAGAATTCAACAAGCAAAGCAAGATTAAGGTGAATTTTATAGTCTGACAGAAAGTCTAATGCAAAGACTCTCCACATTTGCATTAAATTGAAATCACATTTTCCCCTAGAAATACTTCACTGATGACACTTTCAAAGTGTTCACAGTGAGCTCCAAAAAGTTCCTCAAAGAAAACTACTTAAGTCCAGAAGATACTGGTAGGTGAAGTCTCCTTTATGTAAACATAACATGCATAGCTAGAATGCTAATGTTTTTTCAGTTTGCTTTGATTGAAAGAAGAATTGTTTAATTTTAATTAAACTATGTATGTTTGTCCTTGAAACAGAAATAACCAAACTTCAGAGATTTTTGCAAGATCTCAATGACTGTCACTCAGAGACAGTAAACTATGTGACGGGAGCTCATGGGATTCTGTCTTTGATTCAAGGAGCCAACTCGAGAGGAGTGGTAGGGTCAAGTAAAAGATACAAAATAATATTCTCTTAAATGTTTGGATTTCTCATATGTATTTGTGTTTCTTTTATTGTTTTTTGTTACTAATTTATGAGTTATTATTTGATTGATTCGTGTAGTTTTGCTGTTCTATTTTGCTTCTTAGGTCCGTATTACAGGAGAGTGACTTTTTAAACCAACTGAATTTCATTAAGAAACAACAACAAGTAGTTTTTATGGTTTTACTAATAAAAATATTTTCCAGGATAGTAAAAAAGGCAAGGTGTGTGAAGAACTTGAGATAAACATGAGCCTCCAACTTGATAATGTCAGAAAAGAAATGGAAGACACCTATACGGCTTTTAAAAAATGTCTTGATGATGGTGTTGAGAAATCCAAATGTTCATATGGAGAAAAACTCAAGAACACCTTGTATGATGTATGTATTTTAATCATAGTTAAAATACATACAGATTTTACATGACAATGTAAAATGCAATAATTCTGAGGTTTTTTTGTGTTTCAGGGAAAGAATGGTGGTGCTTTTTACAATTTACTGAAGTGTGTCATTGAGAATGGCGGCATCTACAAACCAAAAAAAGGGAAACCAATTAACCTTAATATGAAGTTGGCTTCATGTCTGATTGACAGCATTGGTGCAGAATTCAGAAAGACCTTCCCGTAATAAAAACATGTTCTAAACAGTCACATAATACCATTCAAGATATGTAATTCATAACATATAAACTTGCCAGTTAAGCCATTATGATCTACAATGTTTACATGTTTTAGAAACGAAGTAACTTGTGGAGCATTCAATGGAGTCATCAAGACATTTTCACTTGACATTGATTCTCTGATTGAAAAGTACCAAAATGCTGAACTGCAACTCAGATTTCTCAAGACAGAGGTAAGAAGTGAAACTTTACTGTCTATCAATGGACTGATGGTAAAGTTCATCCTTATTTCATGTTTGTCTCTAAGGAAGAAAATATTAAGGCAAGACTGAGCAGAATCATCCAGAAACAGAAGAAAAATGTCTACAGCAGTCTGACAGAGACAATTGAGAACATTATGGAAGAAGGCTATTGCGGTAAGAAATAAAATCAGAGATTCACAACTTGGCAGTAAAACATAATTTTTTTTTTTAGAATTATTTGGCATAAAAGGTCTGAAGAGTTTTCTGTCTTTTTGTAGAGGCTTTAGCATTTACAGGAGAAGACACACTGTACAACATGAGGAAGACTATTGAGAACCATGTGCACTCAAAGAAGGACATGTTTGAGCAGGCAAAAAACACCATGTTGGAGAAGTTGCACGATTTGATGGTTTGTCATGTTTTATGAAGAATTATGATGAACATATTTTCTCATAACTCACCTGAAGGCTTTTTCTGTATTTAACTGGAATAGACTTATACAGAAATGTATGTTTCCATTTATATTTTTCATCCAGTCTGAGAACCTTCTAAATACAACTTTAACACAATATCCTAGTCTTTGGTAAGTGATGAAAAACTTTAAAATTTTAAATTAGGTATACGTCTCGGAGACTCTGGAGAAAACTATGAAGGAATCTATTGGACTTTCATTCAAAGCTGAAGAGTGCTTACTCCCAGGTAAACAGGACAGTTTTCTGTAATTACATTGGTTCAAATTGTTTGATGATGTTTCCCTTCCCTCTTTATCTTTGCAGTCTTGCAGGGGTGTCTATATATTTATCTTTTAAAAAAATAAGTGAATAAATAACTGATTACTCATTCACACATATGTGTGTCACTCTGGGGGGAAACAATTCAAAAAATGTTTTGTTTTTCAGATGTTTCAACAGAGCTTGAGATGGTGAAGAAATATCATGATCAACTTGTAGGCACTCCAACTGAATCCAACTGTTATCAACTGAATTAAATTAATGTTTTTAATTTAAAAAATGTCAATGTTTTTTGTCTTTAAAAATGTTAAAATTTGTTTTAAGTACATATGCTGATCATCTTAGAGGCTGCAATTAGTCCATTTTAGGGACTCGTGTAGTGTGAGGATTGTTAAAAGCAATATTGAGATGTAAATAATTAATATCTTCTATTTGTCATTGTTCAGTAGTTAAGTAAAACTATTTATGCATTTTGACTGATTTTGACTGATATTGTTTAAAAAGCTTGAGAATATATTTTTTATGTCCTTGATCTGCTTATCCTGTGTTACAGTTTTTCATATTAAATCATTACATGACATTATAGAGTTGTGTAATGTTTAGATTATTTCTTGTATTCTTCCTCTCATTTAGTCGTGTTGTCTTGTTGGTTTACAGCTTAATTTCTGTCTTGGTGTTCCTTAGTCCTGTGTTAGGAAAAATGTATTTCCTCTTTGGTTCTTGACTTTTTTTTTTTTTAAGTTTTAGGATCCAAACTTACTAAAAAATCCTGCTCCATAACAAAACAAACATACAAAAACCCATTGCATTACAGTTTTTGGAAATATGAAATCACTATAACATTGTATACATGTGTATTTAAACATCTTTACATTGACAGAAATTGTAGTTTCTATGGTTTGACCATCTGTGATAGAAGTGAGCTGTATGTGGCCTACGATGAAAAATGCGTTTTACATCCTGTGAGGCCTTAAGTCGTGTTATCGTTTGGTGGGCCTGTTTTTATTTCCTTTTTGTTCAGGCCATCATTAGCGGCTTCTCCCATCCATTATGAGAAAAGGAGTTCATGGTTTGGGAACCTATGTAAGGTGATATACTTTTAAGATGGCGGCCACCACTGTGCTTAATAAATTAATATGGTAAAATTGTTTGTGTGGAATTGCCTTCTTTGTTGTCTAAGGAGCTTGGAAAGAAAACCGTCTGGACTTTTCTAAGTTGCTTGAAGACGTTTCACCTCTCATCCGAGAAGCTTCTTCAGTCATAACTTATCCATGCCTTTGTTACTTCAAGATTAGACTACTGCAACTCCCTTTACCTGGGCTTCCAATCTGTCCTTCTACATAAACTACAACTTGTCCAAAATGCAGCGGTACGCCTTTTAACTGGTACTAGAAGATTTGATTCTTTTACCTTGATCCTTGCTGACCTACATTGGCTGCCCATCAGATATCGGATTAATTTTAAGATTTTATTTCTTACATTCAAAATCGTAAATAATATTGCACCATGCTATTTAACTCAACTTCTCAGCCTGTATACTCCTAGGAGAGCACTTCAATCATCGAGTCAAGTGCTCTTGGTGCAACCTTGGTCCCAGCTGTAAACCAGAGGTGATCGTGCCTTTGCCATTTATTATTCACGCGTCGGAATCTATTCAATCTTTTAAAACACGATTGAAAGGTTATTTATTTGATCTTGCATTTTTGATTAGTTAGTGATTTATCGGATGTACACTTTGTGCTTTTGTTAAATTTGTGTGTAATTTTAACCTATTGTGTTACTGTTTTTTTTCCAGTTGATATTTCTGTGTTGATTTTACCTAACTTTTACACCAGGAGTGAAATATTTATTTTAACATAGTACTCCCTGGTTAATTAGTGCTTTTTTTTTTTGTCTGGCAATGTATTTGTAGTGTACTATCATACTCGCATGTAATTAATTTTATTTCATATTTAACTATTGAGAAGCACTTTGGTGTACCTCTGGTCTTTAAATGTGCTATATCAATAAAGTATTGATTGATAAGATAAAATGGTGGAGAGTCCCAGATTTAGGCCCCATGGGAGTGTCGTGTCCCCCCCCAAGAGGGACAATGAACCCCCTAATGATCCTCTACGTAATCACAAGAGACAGGTGTGAAAACAGGTGTGGATCGCAGTCAACCCAGGTTTCAGGTGAACTTATTGTGAAACCAAGCCCCACCCTATGGGGCAGGATGTGAGTGGGCATTAAGGGCCACTCACATCCTGGGCCTTCTGACAACAGGAAATCACATTATTATAGATGGCAGACAGTTGGTGTTATAAACCACTGCCTCTGTTCGAACAGAGCTTCCTTTCCAAGCTCCTTACACAGTGGCTGTATCCCAATTCAGGGTCTGCAGCCTTAAAGGCTGCATTTT